ATTTTAGCAACAGGACCTTGTCTTTTCTTTTTAAATAAATACAGTCATGTGCCACATAACACTGTTTATGTCTGTGACAGACCACCTATAAGATGGTGGCCCCGTAAGATTATAATGGAGCTGAGAGATTCATACTGCCTAGTGACGTCGTAGCGCAACTACTTTACTTTTTTATACATTTAGTGCAGCCTGAGTGTACAGTGTTTGAGTCCACAATGTGCACAGTAACGTCCTAGCCTTCACGGTCACTCGTCACTCAGACTCACCCAGAGCACCTCCCAGTCCTGCAAGCTCCATGCACAGTGAGTGCCTGTACAGCTGTGCTGCTGCTTACCTTTTATACTGTATTCCTACTGTACCTTTTCCATGTATAGATATGTTTAGATACACAGATACCACTGTGTTACAGTTGCCTGCAGTATCAGTACAGGAACATGGTATATTATAGGTTTGTAGCCTGGGAGCCACAGACTGTACCATGTAACCCAGATGTGTGGTAGGCTGTACCATCAAGGTTTGTGTAAGTACAGTCTATGATGCTTGCACAATGACAAAGTCACCTAATGATGCATTCTTAGAACCCCATTGTTAAGTGGTGCATGATTATATTAAGTAGGATCATAGTACTTAGTGTAACACACAAAAAATCTGAGCCTTGTTAAGTCCCACCCTCCTGTGAGCTATGTCTCAGGGAAAAGGCTTTGAAATCTCCACTTGAGGCAGATGATCTCTACTTCTCTGTGCCAAGCTTGCAGGAGAGGGAAGGGAGGCTGTTGTCAGTACTGCAGGAACAGGCGTGGAAGCCTGGGCTAGGACAGGGCATGGAGACAAGAAAGGAGGGTGGGCGTGAGGAATGCTTCCAAGCTCACCTGGATGGAGCGTGCTAACTGATTGACTGGGCCAGGGGCTGTTCAACATGAAGCGGAGCAGGCGCCGGGAATGCCAAAAGCTATGGACACCGGAAGGGACCCGGCAGGGAGGGGCCGTGACACCACAGGGGTCAACG